TTCAGGACAAGAGCATCCAGTTGCATACTTCAGTAAGAACTCCTTCCTCATGAAGAGAAGTACTCAACAATTGAGAAAGAATGCTTAGCCATCAAGCTAGGTGTAAAGGCTTTCCAGGTGTATCTATTAGGGAAGCAATTCCAAATACAAACAGACCACAGGGCACTTGTCTGGCTTAATAACATGAAGGACAAGACATCTAGATTAACACGTTGGAGTCTTGCTCTACAGCCATTTGATTTTACTATAGTCCATCGAGTTGGAAAGGCCAACACCAATGCTGACGCATTATCCCGTGCTCCGTCAAGTACGAGTACTTGACGCTGGGAAAGGAGGGAGGAGTGTCATGGAACTATATAGAAACTGGATTATTACCATTAATGTATATTAATTAATTAACTAATTATTAATAATTTGTGCATATATAAAGCCAGTTGGCCTTATTTGAAAGAGAGTTCTTTGTTATTCAGCTAGTCTCTAAGTAAAATATTTTGAAAAATTCTTGCGAGCTGTGACAAGTACCTAGTCCTCACCTACGCAAAGCTGGGTGAGGCCAAAAATACACATTAGTGAGTATTGAGTATACCTCAGTTTGCATTCTTCATTGTGTTTCTGAGTGATAGTTGTTATGTTCCTCAATTTCTTTACTTTTCTCATCAACAGTCTATGAATAATGGACATGTACATGTAAATGTGTTCTCATTTCGTAACTTTCCTCTTCTCTCTTGTCCCTCGCTTTCTCTCTCTTACTGACTCCATTTGTACTAGTGCTGAATTGCTGATATTGCTACTCCTTGTGATGATAAAAAATATTGTTGGGCTCTACCATATAAAATAAATACAACATAGCAATGTACATGTATGTATACTATATAGGTACAGCTATAGATTGACACATGTATAAATTATTCTAAACAATGGTTTTTCAAATATTTGGCCAGCTAGAGTACAAGGTATTTTGCCAAAATAACTAAAATATTATTATCTATTTAATTTTCGAAGTTGCTCAAAAATTGGGCAAATAAAGGTCTCTGGCCAATTTTTGCCAAAATTAAAAGTAGAGAATCGACTAATTTTTGTAACTTATTCTGATACATATACAGTACATGTTCTTACATTGAGTGAAAAGTTTAGGCTGCTTACAATTTAAATTTAAATTTTTATTAATTTTTCAATTCGCTCAGAAATCTGGCAAAGCCATGGGCTACAGTTTAGGGTTTTCTGGCCAAATTTTGCCATATTGGTTAATTAGAAAATAAATATTTTCATATTTTTAATGCATACTGCATAGCGGAAAATTTTGAAGGGACTAAAATTTGGTGAATTGCTAACTTTTGGTAATTGGCAAATTTTAAGTTTGGCAAATTTGTGGCCATTTGCCATTGAGCATGCATATAATGGCTCAAAATGGCGGATTTTTATTTCGGCCAATGGCTATCAGTCGAAATGCCATATTCACCTAATTTAATTCCCTCCAAAATTTCCCGCTATACAATGTATACTGTATAAAATTTTTCTGAGGCCCAAAAATTCTGCTAATTTTGCAAATATAGAGAAATTGCAGAAATTTAATCCTCAATTTTGGCACACAATTTATTCAGGGGCCTATTTAAATTAAAAGACATGGTGATTTTACAAAAATAAAATCCACAAAAGCCATTATTTTTGATCGCAATTCACAAAACTTGGGGCCACAGATACATGTACATGTATTTCTAGCTATATGTAAATAATATGTACTTGTGTTGTTTAAAAATTTTGAATTAATTCCAATCAAAGTATGATTTTTTAAGAATTTTTAAATTTGCTCAAAATCAAAGACCTGACATATTGTACATGGCCTACACCATAAAGCATGCATTCCTTGGCCAAAATTCATCCAAAAATAGTAAGGGACAATTTTTTATTTAGTAAATTTTCTGATGCTAAAAAAATGGACGTAAAGTGCACGCACAATGTACATGTACATGCACATGTGTGCATTAATTAGAACTCCTTACTAAAAGTACATCAGATTTATTCCCAGTGTTGATCCTAGCTCTGTCTCTAGTACTAGCATGACCACTCATTATAAGATCCTCTTTCTCTTTGTCTTT